GGACCTAGGGGGTGGCCAGGGTGTGTTGGGTGAGGGACCGGGGGGTGGCCAGGGTGTGTTGGGTGAAGGACCTGGGGTGTGGCCAGGGTGTGTTGGGTGATGGACCGGGGGGTGGCCAGGGTGTGTGGGGTGAGGGACCTGGGGGTGGCCAGGGTGTGTTGGGTGAGGGACCTGGGGGTGGCCAGCGTGTGTTGGGTGAGGGACCTGGGGTGTGGCCAGGGGGTGTTGGGTGCGGGACCGGGGGGTGGCCAGGGTGTGTTGGGTGAGGGACCTAGGGGGTGGCCAGGGTGTGTTGGGTGAGGGACCTGGGGTGGCCAGGGTGTGTTGGGTGAGGGACCTGGGGTGTGGCCAGGGTGTGTTGGGTGAGGGACCTGGGGGTGGCCAGGGTGTGTTGGGTGAGGGACCTGGGGTGTGGCCAGGGTGTGTTGGGTGAGGGACCGGGGGGTGGCCGAGGTGTGTGGCGTGAGGGACCTAGGGTGTGGCCAGGGTGTGTTGGGTGAGAGACCGGGGGGTGGCCAAGGTGTGTGGGGTGAGGGACCAGGGGAGTGGCCAGGGTGTGTGGGGTGAGGGACCTGGGGGGTGGCCAGGGTGTGTGGGGTGAGGGACCTGGGGGGTGGCCAGGGTGTGTTGAGCTACAGGACATGGTGGGGAGGGATGTGAGTGGTAGTGGACCTTATACCATCCTGTGAGTTGTAGTGGACCCCATTTCCATCCTGGTAGTGAAATTGGACCCCATACACATCCTGGTAGTGGAAATGTACCCCATACATATCAAGTGAGTGATAGTGGACCCCATACACTTCCCTGCGAGTGGTAGTAGACCCCATACACTTCCCTGCGAGTGGTAGTGGATCCCATTCACTTCCCTGCGAGTGATAGTGGATCCCATACACTTCCCTGCGAGTGATAGTAGACCCCATACACTTCCCTGCGAGTGGTAGTAGACCCCATACACTTCCCTGCGAGTGGTAGTGGACCCCATACAATTCCCTGCGAGTGGTAGTGGACCCCATACACTTCCCTGCGAGTGGTGGTGGATCCCATTCACTTCCCTGCGAGTGATAGTGGATCCCATACACTTCCCTGCGAGTGGTAGTAGACCCCATACACTTCCCTGCGAGTGGTAGTGGACCCCATACAATTCCCTGCGAGTGGTAGTGGACCCCATACACTTCCCTGCGAGTGGTAGTAGACCCTATACACTTCCCTGCGAGTGGTAGTGGACCTCATACACTTCCCTGCGAGTGGTAGTGGACCCCATACAATTCCCTGCGAGTGGTAGTGGACCCCATACAATTCCCTGCGAGTGGTAGTGGACCCCATACACTTCCCTGCGAGTGGTAGTAGACCCTATACACTTCCCTGCGAGTGGTAGTGGACCCCATATACTTCCCTGCGAGAGGTAGTGGACCCCATACACTTCTCTGCGAGTATACATACAACTCATAGAATACAATTCTGTGAGTTGTATGGGCCCCATACTATCTTGTGAGAGGTAGTGGATCCTATAACCATCCTGCGAGTGGTATTGAAAAGAAATATTGCAATGGTACATAATGGATTCAGGAACTGAACCGCAAAGGTCAGGCAGGTGAGCAAGTTACAGTCTATTGCAGGTTATCAAACTAATATCACTGAGGGCCCAAGAGCATCCTGCATAACGTATCGAATTCAGACACATAAGTAATTATGTGACAACAATTGATAGTGATTATATCGACCCAGTCCAGCAGATGTTGCTGCGCCTACGTGCCTGCGACAATGTCAAGAAATGCACCTGGAAATGTTTGAGAGCTAAAGGAGTCTTCACAGCTTCCCACGCAAATGTCATCAAATTTTTGCTATCATGTACACTCACCATATATCCACGGTTTGCCTATAGTAATTCACCTGATACTTTTGTTCATCTGGCAGTTAAGGAGGTTTTTGGGAGCTAAGCAACTGTTGGGCGTTGCATCCAGAGGAAGGTCAGTTGGCCTACAGGGACCTCGCTGACCCCTAACGTTTTGTTTCCTGTCCTTGACGACGTAAATTATTAAGTGTCGCTTTGAAGACAACATTCTAGAATCAGCGCCATAGCCACAACCTTTGGCTCCACTATGGAAACACTGCTATGCCAAAACATACAAAGCTTGAACAAATCCACAAGGGCCATGACGAGGATTCGAACTTGCGTCCAAAACCAGACGCTGCCTTAATCGACTGAGCTACGACATGGTCAAAAAGGGTTGAAACCGAAGTTCTACTGAACTTACTGGATCCTGCAGCCTCTCCTAGGCACAAACCAGGGTTTTACACAACTCCCCCCATTTACTCAAGCTATGTTAATAGGCCGTTCTCCCTCTTCGTCCTTACTTCATTACACACAGAAATCACAATTGCGTGATGCATCAAATGCATTGAGAGTCTGGGATGCCCTCGAACGCAGGTTCGAACGCTCGTCACGGCCCTTGTGGATTTGTTCATTTGATGCATCACGCAATTGTGATTTCTGTGTGTAATACAAAGCTTGTTAATAGATTCCTACAACATCTCAATGCGCATTTTTGTAAAAGATATGACATATCTATGCAATTGTGTCTCAGTACTCTGCACAATACTCCATAATGAACTTTTATAAAAGATCAACTAACAAAAGCGATGCACGATACAACTCACACTACATGTCATCCAGGTCCCCACTTGGCACGAAAAGGAGCCCAAAAATGCACCATCACCAAAGATTTGCAGCGAGAGGGAAACTATGACGCTCTCCAATGTACTATGGAACTATTAGAAAGACCTGGGAATCTTGTAAACATGTCAGGCATAAAAACAGAAAAATATATATAACAGTGAACAGACTATGGCTGGGACACGCCACACTGGCAGCACACAGCTTTAAATACAGGGCAGACATACATTAACTTTGCATCCACTGCCATGTTCCGAGACAATTGAACAGTGCCTCCTTCACGGTTTTAGACATTTCGGTATCTGAAAAAAATTCAAACAAGTACTTAATGCTTTCAAATTTCATTGAAAATCGAGCATATAATATCGTGAGGAGACCTCTCTTTACAAATAAAATATAAAATAGCCAAAGCATTGGTTAAATATCTTCAGTCATCCCAAAAAAACAATGCCACATGTGACCTTTTCATACAACTGAAACCACCTGGATAAGATACATAGAAAACGTAACCCTAGCTACAAAAAACATAAATTATCAGCCGACGCCATAAACCCAACATCCAGCTCTCGCCGCCAAGTGGCCCTTGTGTCTCATGAGAACAACAGTAACTCTGGAGGAGGGAACCTTCACACACACACGACGCCTGTCGTAAAGAAGTGCCACTTAGTTGGGAAAGACGGACAAAATACAAGATGTCAAACACTACAGACTTTTGATATAATGAATGTCCTGTACGTGACGTATGTGACGAATGCCAATGCCTGCACGTAAGGTGGGGAAGGCCAACGCCTGCACGTAAGGTGGGGAAGGCCAACGCCTGCACGTAAGGTAGGGAAGGCCAACGCCTGCACGGAAGGTAGGGAAGGCCAACGCCTGCACGTAAGGTAGGGAAGGCCAACGCCTGCACGTAAGGTAGGGAAGGCCAACGCCTGCACGGAAGGTAAGGAAGGCCAACGCCTGCACGTAAGGTAGGAAGGCCAACGCCTGCACGTAAGGTAGGGAAGGCCAACGCCTGCACGTAAGGTGGGGAAGGCCAAAGCCTGCACGTAAGGTGGGGAAGGCCAACGCCTGCACGTAAGGTAGGGAAGGCCAACGCCTGCACGTAAGGTGGGGAAGGCCAACGCCTGCACGTAAGGTGGGGAAGGCCAACGCCTGCACGTAAGGTGGGGAAGGCCAAAGCCTGCACGTAAGGTAGGGAAGGCCAACGCCTGCACGTAAGGTGGGGAAGGCCAAAGCCTGCACGTAAGGTGGGGAAGGCCAACGCCTGCACGGAAGGTAGGGAAGGCCAAAGCCTGCACGTAAGGTGGGGAAGGCCAACGCCTGCACGTAAGGTAGGGAAGGCCAACGCCTGCACGTAAGGTGGGGAAGGCCAAAGCCTGCACGTAAGGTAGGGAAGGCCAACGCCTGCACGTAAGGTGGGGAAGGCCAAAGCCTGCACGTAAGGTAGGGAAGGCCAACGCCTGCACGGAAGGTAGGGAAGGCCAAAGCCTGCACGTAAGGTGGGGAAGGCCAACGCCTGCACGTAAGGTAGGGAAGGCCAACGCCTGCACGTAAGGTAGGGAAGGCCAACGCCTGCACGTAAGGTGGGGAAGGCCAACGCCTGCACGTAAGGTGGGGAACGCCAACGCCTGCACGTAAGGTAGGGAAGGCCAACGCCTGCACGTAAGGTGGGGAAGGCCAACGCCTGCACGTAAGGTGGGGAAGGCCAACGCCTGCACGTAAGGTAGGGAAGGCCAACGCCTGCACGTAAGGTAGGGAAGGCCAACGCCTGCACGTAAGGTAGGGAAGGTCAACGCCTGCACGTAAGGTGGGGAACGCCAACGCCTGCACGTAAGGTGGGGAAGGCCAACGCCTGCACGTAAGGTGGGGAAGGCCAACGCCTGCACGTAAGGTGGGGAAGGCCAACGCCTGCACGTAAGGTAGGGAAGGCCAACGCCTGCACGTAAGGTGGGGAAGGCCAACGCCTGCACGTAAGGTGGGGAACGCCAACGCCTGCACGTAAGGTAGGGAAGGCCAACGCCTGCACGTAAGGTAGGGAAGGCCAACGCCTGCACGTAAGGTGGGGAAGGCCAACGCCTGCACGGAAGGTAGGGAAGGCCAAAGCCTGCACGGAAGGTAGGGAAGGCCAAAGCCTGCACGGAAGGTAGGGAAGGCCAAAGCCTGCACGTAAGGTGGGGAACGCCAACGCCTGCACGGAAGGTAGGGAAGGCCAAAGCCTGCGCATGAAACTGGGAAGGCCCAGATCCTGTAAGAGACGGAGATAGCTGTGCGGGTTATAATCAAGACGCGCTAATCACGCCTCAAGGTCAGTGTGAGGGAGGATACACTGCCTGGCAACTTGCATAAGAGGAGAAGACTACAGAGTGCCACTCTCATGCCAGAGCCACCAGCGTTAGTGCCGCTCCAGCCCCCGCACAGAGAACATCCACATCAGCTGCTGAGAGGATTTGTTGTTGAGATTGCTATTGCTGCTCTTCCTTGAACTGTGAGTTTACTTAACGCTGCCATCTGAAGTTTCTGGTAAAATTTGGTGATTCTTTTATCATTGTTTATGCTAATTTACTAGCAGTGGAGATGGTACAATTAATTGTACAAAGTTTTAAGACAATTAGCAGAGAACCAAAAGTATTCAATATAATCTAAATATTTGCAGATTCCAATGTAGGTAATAGGAAAATAAATAGTGATTGGCAATAGTGTTGTATAGAAAACTATAATAAACTTAGCATTGCTGACACTATGTTGTATTTAGAATTTAGTAAGTTCATAAAATAGGATAGATAGCTACCTCGCGATGATTTCGGGCTCAACGTCCCCGCGGCCCGGTCCTTGGCCAGGCCAACAGTAGCTATATGAGTGAATTAAGATGATTGGACGTAAACATTGTATGTAATCTTCGCACAGGACCAGCCAGCTTACTGCACTTACTCTTTCTTCAAATGTTTTTCGAGGCCAAACCATGCTACTCTTCTCACACTATTAATCACACGTGCTTCATAGACTGTGTATTTCCGCTGCTGTAACTCCTCATTTGTTCAGGCTCGTATCAAACCATTAAATGGCTCGGTGCCGTACACAATATACAGAGGATCAGCTCAACTTTCTGCACTCCCTCAAGATCCTGTTCTTTTTACCACGGAACTGCACCAGCCACTCTTCTTCCCCATAACTATTCTTACTCAGAACTTTATGTACACACTCTCCATTTTAAAGAGCCAAACATCTCAGGTATTTGAAGGTGCTCAACGTGATCACTTTAAGTACGAACCTATGCTCTGTGTACACTGGGAGTTCCTTGAGCAAAGGTTCGTGTCCTCCTCGTGGTTCATACTGAATTTTTCAAAGGTTATCAAATTTATGTAAAATATATCAGTTATTTGTATAGTATACTTTGAAGTATATACTTAACTGAATTTATAAGAGAGGCACCATCTCTAGTGGACTCAACAGGGACTAGAAGCCAGAGGCTTGTTAATGTTCCTACCTTGTACCTGAAGACTTTTTTCAAATGGATTTTAAAAAAGTAATGTTTACATCCATAAAGTTATAACGCTATGTGTGAAAACCCATGTTTCCTCTACTCCACTGTGACCCCTTGTTGACCCCTTGTAGGTGCTAAACCTCTAAATAAAGTAATCTGGATTGTTATCTTCCTATTTGTACGGCATTTTAAAGAACCAGATGATTTCAGCCTTGTAGTATATAGTTTGCAGTGTTGATTGCCCTCAGGCCCTCAACCTAGCCTCAGGCCCTCAACCTAGCCTCAGGCCCTCAACCTAGCCTCAGGCCCTCAACCTAGCCTCAGGCCCTCAACCTAGCCTCAGGCCCTCAACCTAGCCTCAGGCCCTCAACCTAGCCTCAGGCTCTCAACCTAGCCTCAGGCCCTCAACCTAGCCTCAGGCCCTCAACCTAGCCTCAGGCCCTCAACCTAGCCTCAGGCCCACAACCTAGCCTCAGGCCCTCACCCTGGCCTCAGGCCCTCAACCTAGCCTCAGGCCCTCAACCTAGCCTCAGGCCCTCAACCTAGCCTCAGGCCCACAACCTAGCCTCAGGCCCTCACCCTGGCCTCAGGCCCTCAACCTAGCCTCAGGCCCTCAACCTGGCCTCAGGCCCTCAACCTAGCCTCAGGCCCTCAACCTAGCCTCAGGCCCTCAACCTAGCCTCAGGCTCTCAACCTTAGTCCTCAGGCCCTCAACCTAGCCTCAGGCCCTCAACCTAGCCTCAGGTCCTCAACCTAGCCTCAGGCCCTCAACCTAGCCTCAGGCCCTCAACCTAGCCTCAGGCCCTCAACCTGGCCTCAGGCCCTCAACCTGGCCTCAGGCCCTCAACCTGGCCTCAGGCCCTCAACCTGGCCTCAGGCCCTCAACCTAGCCTCAGGCCCTCAACCTAGCCTCAGGCTCTCAACCTAGCTTCAGGCCCTCAACCTAGCCTCAGGCTCTCAACCTTAGTCCTCAGGCTCTCAACCTTAGTCCTCAGGCCCTCAACCTTAGTCCTCAGGCCCTCAACCTTAGTCCTCAGGCCCTCAACCTTAGTCCTCAGGCCCTCAACCTTAGTCCTCAGGCTCTCAACCTAGTCTTCAGGCCCTCAACCTTAGTCCTCAGGCTCTCAACCTTAGTCCTCAGGCCCTCAACCTTAGTCCTCAGGCCCTCAACCGTAGTCCTCAGGCCCTCAACCTAGTCTTCAGGCCCTCAACCTTAGTCCTCAGGCTCTCAACCTAGTCCTCAGGCCCTCAACCTTAGTCCTCAGGCCCTCAACCTAGTCCTCAGGCCCTCAACCTTAGTCCTCAGGCCCTCAACCTAGTCCTCAGGCCCTCAACCTAGTCCTCAGGCCCTCAACCTTAGTCCTCAAGCCCTCAACCTAGTCCTCAGGCCCTCACCCTAGTCCTCAGGCCCTCAAATATAGTCCTCGGGCCCCTAATGTAGTCCTCAGGCCCTCAACGTAGTCCCCAGGCTCTCAATGTAGTCCTCGGGCCCTCAATGTAGTCCTCGGGCCCTCAATGTAGTCCTCGGGCCCTCAACGTTGTCCTCGGGCCCTCAACGTTGTCCTCAAGCCCCTCAATGTAGTCCTCGGGCCCTCAATGTAGTCCTCAGGCCCCTCAATGTAGTCCTCGGGCCATCAACGTTGTCCTCATGCTCCTCAATGTAATCCTCGGGCCCTCAATGTAGTTCTCAGGGCCAAGAATGTACGACCATGTAAAACTGGTCGAACAGTTTTACATGGTCGTACATTTCTTTACCGGTGGAAAAGGCAGGAAATATAAACCACTGAATCGGAACTACAGACTGTGGCTTGTACGAGACGCCGAGATGACGTATATGAGGACGGTAGCGGCCGCCCACCTGCTTCTGGCGGTGCTGCTGGCCGCGAGCGTGGGCGTGGGAGCCACCAGTGCCTCCAAGGTCAAGTTGGTCAACAACGGCTACGAGGGCGTGGTTATTGGCATCTCGCCCGAGGTCAGCGAGCGTGACGCACCCGCCCTCATCACTGTTCTCAAGGTGGGCCCCATCACGTCTGCCTTTATATATAACAGTACCCATCACCCAATGACTCACTATATAGCAGTACCCATCACCCGCTGACTCACTATATAGCAGTACCCATCACCCGCTGACTCACTATATAACAGTACCCATCACCCGCTGATTCACTCTATAGCAGTACCCTTCATCCACTGACTCACTATATAGCAGTACCCATCACCCGCTGACTCACTATATAGCAGTAACCATCACCCACTGCCTCACTATATAACAGTACCCATCACCCGCTGACTCACTATATAGCAGTACCCTTCACCCACTGACTCCCTATATAGCAGTACCCTTCACCCACTGATTCACTATATAGCAGTACCCTTCACCCATTGACTCACTATATAGCAGTACCCATCATCCGATGACTCACTATATAGCAGTACCCATCACCCGCTGACTCACTATATAGCAGTAACCATCACCCACTGACTCACTATATAACAGTACCCTTCACCCACTGACTCACTATATAGCAGTACCCATCATCCGATGACTAACTATATAACAGTACCCATCACCCGCTGACTCACTACATAGCAGTACCAATCACCCACTGACTCACTATATAACAGTACCCATTACCCACTGACTCACTAACTAGCAGTCCCCTTCACCCACTGACTCACTATATAGCAGTACCCATCACCCACTGACTCACTATATAGCAGTACCCATCATCTGCTGATTCACTATATAGCAGTACCCATCAACTGCTGACTAACTATATAAAAGTACCCATCACCCACTGACTCACTATATAGCAGTACCCATCACTCGCTGAGTCACTATATAGCAGTACCCATCACCTACTGACTCACTATTTAACAGTACCCATGACCCGCTGACTCACTATCTAGCAGTCCCCTTCACCCACTGACTCACTATATAGCAGTACCCATCGCCCGCTGACTCACTATATAGCAGTACCCATCATCTGCTGATTCACTATATAGCAGTACCCATCACCTGCTGACTACCTATATAACAGTACCCATCACAAACTGACTCACTATATAGCAGTACCCATCACCCACTGACTCACTATATACCAGTACCCATCACTCGCTGATTCACTATATAGCAGTACCCATCACCTGCTGACTCACTATATAACAGCACCCATCACTCGCTGACTCACTATATAAGAGTACCCATCACCTGCTGACTCACTATATAGCAGTACCCATCACCTGCTGGCTCACTGTATAACAGTACCCATTACCCACTGACTAACTATATAGCAGTACCCATCACCCGCTGACTCACTATCTAGCAGTCCCCTTCAACCACTGACTCACTATATAGCAGTACCCATCACCCACTGACTCACTATATAGCAGTACCCATCATCTGCTGATTCACTATATAGCAGTACCCATCACCTGCTGACTACCTATATAACAGTACCCATCACAAACTGACTCACTATATAGCAGTACCCATCACCCACTGACTCACTATATACCAGTACCCATCACTCGCTGATTCACTATATAGCAGTACCCATCACCTGCTGACTCACTATATAACAGCACCCATCACTCGCTGACTCACTATATAAGAGTACCCATCACCTGCTGACTCACTATATAGCAGTACCCATCACCTGCTGGCTCACTGTATAACAGTACCCATTACCCACTGACTAACTATATAGCAGTACCCATCACCCGCTGACTCACTATCTAGCAGTCCCCTTCAACCACTGACTCACTATATAGCAGTACCCATCACCCACTGACTCACTATATAGCAGTACCCATCATCTGCTGATTCACTATATAGCAGTACCCATCACCCTCTGACTCACTATATAACAGTACCCATCACCCACTGACTCACTATATAGCAGTACCCATCACCCATTGACTCACTATATAGCAGTTACCATCACCTGCTGATTCACTATATAGCAGTACCCATCACCCATTGACTCACTATATAGCAGTACCCATCACCTGCTGATTCACTATATAGCAGTACCCATCACCTGCTGACTAACTATATAGCAGTACCCATCACCCGCTGACTCACTATATATTAGTACTCATCACCCACTGACTCACTATATAACAGTACCCATCACTCACTGACTCACTATATAGCAGTACTCATCACTCACTGACTCACGACATAACAGTACCCATCACCCGCTGACTCACTATATTGCAGTAGCCATCACCCGCTGACTTACAATATCAATACCCATCACCCACTGACTCACTATATAACAGTACCCATCACCCACTGACTCGCTATATAGCAGTACCCTTCACCCACTGACTCACTATATAGCAGTACCCATCACCTGCTGACTTACTATATAGCAGTACCCATCACCCCCTAACTCACTATATAGTAGTACACTTCACCCACTGACTCACTAACTAGCAGTCCCCTTCACCCACTGACTCACTATATAGCAGTACCCATCACCCACTGACTCACTATATAGCAGTACCCATCATCTGCTGATTCACTATATAGCAGTACCCATCACCTGCTGACTAACTATATAACAGTACCCATCACCCACTGACTCACTATATAGCAGTACACATCACTCGCTGATTCACTATATAACAGTACCCATCACCCACTGACTCACTATATAACAGTACCCATCACCCACTGACTCACTATCTAGCAGTCCCCTTCACCCACTGACTCACTATATAGCAGTACCCATCACCTGCTGACTAACTATATAACAATACCCATCACAAATTGACTCACTATATAGCAGTACCCATCATCCACTGACTCACTATATACCAGTACCCATCACCCGCTGATTCACTATATAGCAGTACCCATCACCTGCTGACTCACTATATAACAGCACCCATCACTCGCTGACTCACTATATAAGAGTACCCACCACCTGCTGACTCACTATATAACAGTACCCATCACCCACTGACTAACTATATAGCAGTACCCATCACCCGCTGACTCACTATCTACCAGTCCCCTTCAACCACTGACTCACTATATAGCAGTACCCATCACCCACTGACTCACTATATAACAGTACCCATCACCCACTGACTCACTATCTAGCAGTCCCCTTCACCCACTGACTCACTATATAGCAATACCCATCACCTGCTGACTCACTATATAGCAGTACCCATCACCTGCTGATTGACTATATAGCAGTACTCATCACCTGCTGACTAACTATATAACAATACCCATCACAAACTGACTCACTATATAGCAGTACCCATCATCCACTGACTCACGATATACCAGTACCCATCACCCGCTGATTCACTATATAGCAGCACCCACCACCTGCTGACTCACTATATAACAGCACCCATCACTCGCTGACTCACTATATAAGAGTACCCACCACCTGCTGACTCACTATACAGCAGTACCCATCACCTGCTGACTCACTATATAACAGTACCCATCACCCACTGACTAACTATATAGCAGCACCCATCACCCGCTGACTCACTATCTACCAGTCCCCTTCAACCACTGACTCACTATATAGCAGTACCCATCACCCACTGACTCACTATATAGCAGTACCCATCATCTGCTGATTTACTATTTAGCAGTACCCATCACCCGCTGACTCACTATATAACAGTACCCATCACCCACTGACTCACTATATAGTAGTACACTTCACCCACTGACTCACTATATAGCAGTACCCATCACCCACTGACTCACTAAATAACAGTACCCATCACCCGCTAACTAACTATATAACAGTACCCATCACCCGCTGACTCACTATATAGCAGTACCCATCACCCACTGACTCACTATATAACAGTACCCATCACCCACTGACTCACTATATAGCAGTACCCATCACCCATTGACTAACTATATAGCAGTACCCATCACCTGCTGATTCACTATATAGCAGTACCCATCACCCATTGACTCACTATATAGCAGTACCCATCACCTGCTGATTCACTATAGAGCAGTACCCATCACCTGCTGACTAACTATATTGCAGTACCCATCACCTGCTGATTCACTATAGAGCAGTACCCATCACCTGCTGACTAACTATATTGCAGTACCCATCACCCGCTGACTCACTATATAGCACTATCTAGCAACTGATTGTTAAACAAAACACACTTTTCATTTACCGGTAATTGAAGTAATTTCTTTAATTTTATTAAATCTCTCAATACTATTCCTGTATCTGTATAACAGTTCTCCTTATTACAAATATCAGCAATTTTTGTCCAAAGATACTTATTGGTAAATCTATATTTTCAAATGTAGTAAGTTTAATAATTTATTCCAGACAATGATGAGGAATGCGTCAAAACATTTGTTCCAAGCGACCCGTAGGAGAGCGTTCTTCAGGCAGGTGAAGGTGGTGATCCCTCAGACCTGGTCCAACACCGCCTACGACGAGGCTGCCACTAACGAGAACTTCATGGTAACCTAATTTTCCTTCTCTCCTCTTGCTGGCTTCACACACACTCCTCTTTGCACCCTTACTGGTGACCACACCGAGGTCATTACTGGTGACCACACTGAGGTCATTACTGGTGACCACACTGAGGTCATTACTGGTGACCCCACCGAGGTCATTACAGTTGACCACACTGAGGTCATTACTAGTGACCACACCGAGGTCATTACTGGTGACCACACTGAGGCCATTACAGTTGACCACACTGAGGTCATTACTAGTGACCACACCGAGGTCATTACTGGTGACCACACCGAGGTCATTACTAGTGACCACACTGAGGTCATTACTGGTGACCACACCGAGTTCATTACTGGTGACCACACCGAGGTCATTACTGGTGACCACACCGAGGTCATTACTGGTGACCACACCGAGGTCATTACTAGTGACCACACCGAGGTCATTACTAGTGACCACACCGAGGTCATTACTAGTGACCACACCGAGGTCATTACTAGTGACCACACCGAGGTCATTACTGGTGACCACACTGAGGTCATTACTGGTGACCACACTGAGGTCATTACTGGTGACCCCACCGAGGTCATTACAGTTGACCACACTGAGGTCATTACTAGTGACCACACCGAGGTCATTACTGGTGACCACACTGAGGTCATTACAGTTGACCACACTGAGGTCATTACTAGTGACCACACCGAGGTCATTACTGGTGACCACACCGAGGTCATTACTAGTGACCACACTGAGGTCATTACTGGTGACCACACCGAGGTCATTACTGGTGACCACACCGAGGTCATTACTGGTGACCACACCGAGGTCATTACTGGTGACCACACCGAGGTCATTACTAGTGACCACACCGAGGTCATTACTAGTGACCACACCGAGGTCATTACTAGTGACCACACCGAGGTCATTACTAGTGACCACACTGAGGTCATTACTAGTGACCACACTGAGGTCATTACTGGTGACCACACCGAGGTCATTACTAGTGACCACACTGAGGTCATTACTGGTGACCACACCGAGGTCATTACTAGTGACCACACTGAGGTCATTACTGGTGACCACACCGAGGTCATTACTAGTGACCACACCGAGGTCATTACTAGTGACCACACCGAGGTCATTACTAGTGACCACACCGAGGTCATTACTAGTGACCACACTGAGGTCATTACTAGTGACCACACCGAGGTCATTACTAGTGACCACACTGAGGTCATTACTAGTGACCACACTGAGGTCATTACTGGTGACCACACCGAGGTCATTACTGGTGACCACACTGAGGTCATTACTAGTGACCACACCGAGGTCATTACTGGTGACCACACTGAGGTCATTACTAGTGACCACACTGAGGTCATTACTGGTGACCACACCGAGGTCATTACTGGTGACCACACTGAGGTCATTACTAGTGACCACACCGAGGTCATTACTAGTGACCACACCGAGGTCATTACTAGTGACCACACCGAGGTCATTACTAGTGACCACACCGAGGTCATTACTAGTGACCACACTGAGGTCATTACTGGTGACCACACCGAGGTCATTACTAGTGACCACACCGAGGTCATTACTAGTGACCACACTGAGGTCATTACTAGTGGTCACTTCTGCATTAGGAGTCTCCCTTCAGCCTTACACTGTAAGAATTAATTTTGTCAAAGATATTATTTTAGATTGGTTTACTCAGCGGTAAAATGGTTCAACCATGGGAGACTGGTTCAAGCATGGGAGAAAGGTTCACACTTGGGAGACAGGTTCAACCATGAGAGACTGGTTCAACAATAGGAGACTGGTTCAACAATGAGAGATTGGTTCAACAATGAGAGACTAGTTCGAACATGAGAGACTGGTTCAAACATGCAACCCGTCCTCGACTCAAGTCCATTACATCCAGCGGTCAACCCCACAGACGCATTCATAAATTTTAACATGCTGTTCATTCAAAACGGAAATTTTCTCAAGTATAAATTAATATTGTAACATATTAGCATATTGTGCATATATAGGCATAGGTTAGGTTAGGTTAGGTGTTTAGGTTCTGTTGGCGATTATTTGTATTTGTAGTACGTGGGTGAAGCATTTATAGCGTTGTGATTCGAACAAAATTCGTCAGTGAAACACTTGTTCCGGATATGTTCGAACGTCAGCAGTTGTGAGTCGTGTGTAAACCGCTTTTCATTCATAAACAGGGGGTTTGGCGGGTGCATGGAATCACTTTTGGATCTTTGTTTGGAGGACGGGCTGAAACATGAGAGACTGGTTCAAACATGAGAGACTGGTTCAACAATGAGAGACTGGTTCAACAATGAGAGACCGGTTCAACAATGAGAGACTGGTTCAACAATGAGAGACTGGTTCAACAATGAGAGACTGGTTCAACAATGAGAGACTGGTTCAACAAGAAGAGACTGGTTGAGTAACAGAACGGTACACTCCGGGGAATAATGGTTCACCTAGAGAGGAAGTGATGTACTCGAAAAGGGTTCAAATAGGGATGAATTGTTCCCCCCAAGGGTGCCTTGTTACCAGGGGAGATCATAGCTTACCATAAACATTATATATAGAGTGAACAATGTTGCAAAAGGTTGAGAAATACTTAACTCACTTACGGTGTTTTGTTTACTTGTGTACCCAGGACAGCGACATCCGCTTGGACTATCCTCATCCATTGTACAAACACCAGATGTACACGGAACAGCCGGGAGAGTGCGGGGAGCCTGGCGAGTACATCCACCTCACTCCAGAGTACCTTACTGTTGACAAATACTCCAAGTGGTTCGGGTCTCCGGGTAAGTCATTCGTCATGATTTCTTTCACAACACACTATAATTCATTTTTTGTTCCTGGGTAATAAGTGTGATTTTCTGATTGCTTGTGTCTGCAAAGTATAGACAATGGCTGTGATCCCCCTCAAACTTTGCTTTGATCTTTGCCTCGGACCGCTTTGGGAAGACGTCTTAAAGGTATTTGAAGGCTTGCGACTGAGACAAAGATAAAGCAAACTTTGAGGGGAATTACATCCATCTTTTATACTTTGGAGATATACATTATCAGAAAATACTTATTACCCAGTTACAAAAAAAAAAGTTACACAATGAGCAAATAATAACTAACATTAGGAACGAGAGGTACTGAACTTCTCGACTACTTGCTAGCAAACACCATATATTTTATCCTGTGTCTTCAAATACCTTATACCTGCAGCCCGTCCTCTAAACAAAGACCTGAAGTTCATTCCATGCACCCGCGAAACCCTCTCTTTATGAATGAATAAGGTACACACACAGCTCACAACTGATGACGTTCGAACACTTCTGGAACAAGTGCTTCACTGACGAATTTTGTTTGAATCACAACGCTTCATCCTCGCAGCCCGTCCTCCAAACAAAGCTCCAAAAGTGATTCCATGCACCCGCCAAACCCCCTGTTTATGAATGAAAGCAGTTTACACACGACTCACAACTGCTGACGTTCGAACATATCCGGAACAAGTGCTTCACTGACGAATTTTGTTCGAATCACAACGCTATAAATGCTTCACCCACGTACTACAAATACAAATAATCGCCAACAGAACCTAAACACCTAACCTAACCTATCCTATGCCTATATATACACAATATGCTAATACATTATAATATTAATTTATACTTGAGAAAATTCCCGTTTTGAATGAACAGCATGTTAAAAATTATGAATGCGTCTGTGGGGTCGACCGCTGGATGTAATGGACTTGAGTCGAGGACGGGTTGATCCTCGTACTACAAATACAAAAAAATCACCAAGAGAACCTAAACACATAACCTAACCTAACCAGTGCTTAAATATGTACAATATGCTAATATAAAAGAATATTAATTTATATTTGATAAAATTCTTGTTTTGAATGAACAGCATGTTAAAATTGATGAATACGTCTTTGGGATTGACCGTTGGATGGAATAGACTTGGTCCGAGGACGGGTCCGTATATTTATACATGTACGTATAAATATATACGTACATACACCTGACATATCTCTACACTCAGCCAATCTGTGCAGGACGTGGGAGATGAGTGACATCGCCATATTCGTAAATTCTCTCATGTGAAGCATTTACAAAACAACACGCTCATATGGGTGTAGCTGGCCCATTAAAACTATATATTCCTTATTACCCTCCTTTACTCATTACCCTCATTACTCCCTCATTACCCTCAGTTCTTCACTGAATTGACTCCACATGCGAACGATCGTCTCCTTAATTTGATCATCTTGTCCCTCACCTCCACCTGTGTTTTGGTGTCTCCCTGCCATGTTTGTTCACTATTTCAATGCGCAGGTATAGTGAAGTGAGAGCGATGGGAGAAGGTGTGTATGTCTGTACTCACTTTATTCACCTAGTTGTGCTTGCGGGGATTGAGCTCTGGCTCTTTGGTCCCGTGTCTTAACTGGCAATTAACTGGTGTACAGATTCCTGAGCCTACTGGGCTCTATCATATCTACATTTGAAACTGTGTATGGAGTCAGCCCCCACCACATCACTGCCTAAAGTAGTCCATCTGTTTAACTACTCCTACACTGAAAAAGTTCTTTCTAAAGTCCCTGTGGCTCATTTGGGTACTCAGTTTCCACCTGTGTCTCCTTGTTCGCGCACCACCCGTGTTAAACAGTTTATCCCTATCTACCTTGTCAATTCTGAGAATTTTATAGGTAGTGATCATGTCTCCCCTTACTCTTCTGTCTTCCAGTGTCGTGAGGTGCATTTTACGCAGCCTTTCCTCATAACTCATGCCTCTTAGTTCCCGGACTAGCCTAGTGGCATACCTCTGAACTTTTTCCAGCATTGTCGTGTGCTTGACAAGGTACAGGCTCCATGCTGGAGCCGCATGCCCCAGGCATGCCCCTGAATGATTCCTTGCACAGGTTCCTGAAGGTAGTTCTGATGTTAGCCATCTTGCATACGATACATATGTTATTCTTTTTACGTGGGCTTCAGGAGATAAGTTTGGTGTGATATCAACTCCTAGATCTTTCTCTCTGTTCGTTTCATGAAGGACGTCATCTCCCATTACGTATCTTGTGTCTGGCCTCCTGTTTCCACTGCCTAGCTTCATTACCTTACATTTACTCGGGATGAACTTTATTAGCCATTTGTTAGACCGTTCATTCAGTTTTTGTAGGACATCTTTTAGCCTCATACTATCTGCCTCCGTCTTAATCCTCTTCATAATTTTTGTATCATCAGCAAACAATGAGACGAACGATTCTATACCTTCTGGAAGATCATTTGCACATGTCAGAAAGAGTATAGGTCCAAGGACTAAACCCCCACTAGAGACACCTCGCCAATCTGAGGCCTCACCCCACACAGTGACTCGCTGTCTTCTGTTACTTAGGTATTCCTTAATCCAATGGAATACCTTCCCTTTCATTTCTGCCTGCATCTCCAACTTTTCCACTAGTCTCTTGTGTGGTTCTGTGTCAAAGGCTTTCTGGCAATCCATAAATATGCAGTCTGCCTACCCTTCTCTTTCTTGCCTGATTTTTGTTGCCTGATCAGTATAGGTCATTATATTAATTCAATTAATTCATTCATAATTAATACTCATCCAATTAATCCTGTAAGGCATGACTTGCCATGCCATAGGGGGGGATGTGTGAAGGAAGGAGGGAGGGAGGGAGGGAAGTAGGGATGGAGAGAGTAAGAGAGAGAGAGAGAGAGAGAGAGAGAGAGAGAGAGAGAGAGAGAGAGAGAGAGAGAGAGAGAGAGAGAGAGAGAGAGAGAGAGAGAGAGAGAGAGAGAGAGAGAGAGAGAGAGAGAGAGAGAGAGAGAGAGTTTACTCACCTAGTTGTGCTTGCGGGGGTCCTTTGGATCTTTGGTCCCGCCTCTCAACCGTCAATCAACTGGAGTACAGATTCCAGAGCATACTTGGCTCTATCATATCAATATTTGAAACCGAGTATGGAGTCTGCCTCCAACACATCACTTCCTAGTGCATTCCATCTGTTAAGTACTCTGACACTGAAAAAGTTCTTTCCAATGCCTCTGAGGCTCATTTGGGTATTATGTTTCGACCTATGTCCCCGTGTTCCTGTTCCTCCCGCGCTAAAGAGTTTGTCTTTGTCCATCCTGTTAATTCCCCTGAGAATTTTGCAGGTGGTTATCATGTCTCCCCTTACTCTTCTGTTTTCCAGGGACGTGAGGTTCAGCTCCTTTAGCCTTTTCTCGTAGCTCATACCTCTCAGTTAAGGGACTAGTCTGGTGGAATACATCTGAATCTTCTCTGTCTCGTGTTTAACTAACCATGGACTCCAGGCTGGAGATGCATATTCCAGTATTGGTCTGACATAGGTGGTATACAGGGTCCTGAACGATTCCTTATACAGGTATAAGGAATCGTTCCTTATACCTGTATAAGGAACGATATACTCACCTATTTGTGCTTGCGGGAGTTGAGCTCTGGCTCTTTGGTCCCGCCTCTCAACTGTCAATCAACTGGTGTACAGGTTCCTGAGCCTACTGAACTCTATCATATCTACATATGAAACTGTGTATGGAGTCAGCCTCCACCACATCACTTCCTAATGCATTCCATTTGTCAACCACTCTGACTCTAAAAAAGTTCTTTCTAATATCTCTGTGGCTCATTTGGGCATTCAGTTTCCACCTGTGTGTTGATATTTTTAATACCCTATTAATATCCCCCCTGTTATGTCCATTCATCCACTTGTAAACCTCTATCATGTCACCCCTAACTCTTCGCCTTTCCAGTGAATGCAACTTAAGCTTTGAACATAAGAACATAAGAACAAAGGTAACTGCAGAAGGCCTATTGGCCCATACGAAGCAGCTGTTCCATGGGTGTGAGGTGGATAACAGGTTCTCTGAGGATACTGGGGTGAGGTATGGTGGGTCAAGTGAAAGGGGGGAACAGGGAGAGTATGGGATGAAGGGGGAGGGATGACAGGAAGGAAAAGGGGAGAGAGGGGCATGGCGGGAAGAGGGGAGGGGTAGCTTGGTGGGAATGGGGTGTGGGGGGAGGGAGATTTAGCTGAGCATTTGAGTGGGGGCAGGGAGGGTTTGGGGTAGGGGGGTTTTCTATGCAGAGGAGGGTGGTGGGGTTGCCCTCTCCTCTGGTGTTCCTGGGTAGCTGGTTGTGGGTTCCCCACTCACAATTCCCCACCGCTTCTTCCTTGCTTCTGCCGCCATGGCTCTCTCCTCCCTCGTCATGTCCCTCTGGAGGAATACTTGTTTGAATTCTCCCACATATTGCAGGTGGCTATTCCTTGTTAGAATCTTCTCCTTTGTGTTCTCGTTTGCAAACACTATCTTTAACACACGGTCTCGGTCTTTGTTGTACCAGCCTAGCCTGAAAACCTTCTCAATGCTATGCTCAGCCCCATCCATCTCTAGTGCCTTCAGTATTTCATTCACTGCCGCTTTTTCCTTATCATTCCACTCTGTCCTATTGGGGCCTTCCTGCTCTTTAATACCCACAGCTACCATTAATCTTTTTCTTTCCAGCAGCTGGCGAGTGGAATGTGCTGCTTCCTGTGAGGTGGCTGCTTTCATGGCTCCCTCAAACACTGTGGATATTACTTCAGAGTTATTTATTTAGCATTTCTGCAAATGTTGCTTTTATGATGGCATTCTCTTCCAATATACTATTTCCACCTTCTCCTTGGATGATTATCTGAGTCTCAGCCTCAATATTGTTCTCTTTGAGGGTTCTAATCTCCTCCTTTGCTGCTGTCAGCTCTCTTTTCAGGTTGCTGATTTCAATCTTCATTTCCTGCATCTCACTCTTAATATCTCCAAAAACTGGGCAAACATTTCCTTCATTTCATCACCTTGACTTTTCCCTGTTTCCCTGTTCCTTCTGGCTGTCATGCTTGCCTCTGTTTCTGTTATGCCGTGATAGGGTTTGTCAGGAGGGGGGGTCAGAACAGGGTGGGAGAAAGAGAAAGAGGGAGAGAGAGAGAGAGAGAGAGAGAGAGAGAGAGAGAGAGAGAGAGAGAGAGAGAGAGAGAGAGAGAGAGAGAGAGAGAGAGAGAAAGAGAGAGAGAGAGAGAGAGAGAGAGAGAGAGAGAGAGAGAGAGAGAGAGAGAGAGAGAGAGAGAGAGAGAGAGAGAGAGAGAGAGAGAGAGAGAGAGAGAGAGAGAGAAAGAGAAAGAGAGAGAGAGAGAGAGAGAGAGAGAGAGTGTGTACTCACCTAGTTGTACTTACCTAGTTGTGCTTGCGGGGGTTGAGCTCTGGCTCTTTGGTCCTGCCTCTCAACTGTCAGTCAACTGGTGTACAGATTCCTAAGCCTATTGGGCTCTATCATATCTACACTTGAAACTTTGTATGGAGTCAGCCTCCACCACATCAACCCCTAAAGCATTCCATTTGTCAACCACTCTGACACTAAAAAAGTTCTTTCTAATATCTCTGTGGCTCATTTGGGTACTCAGTTTCCACCTGTGTCCCTTTGTGCGTGTTACCCTTGTGTTAAATAGACTGTCTTTATCTACCCTCTCAATTCCCTTCAGAATCTTGAATGTGGTGATCATGTCCCCCCTAACTCTTCTGTCTTCCAGCGAAGTGAGGTTTAATTCCCGTAGTCTCTCCTCGTAGCTTATACCTCTCAGCTCGGGTACTAGTCTGGTGGCAAACCTTTGAACCTTTTCCAGTTTAGTCTTATCCTTGACTAGATATGGACTCCATGCTGGGGCTGCATACTCCAGGATTGGCCTGACATATGTGGTATACAAAGTTCTGAATGATTCTTTACACAAGTTTCTGAATGCCGTTCGTATGTTGGCCAGCCTGGAAAATGCCGCTGATGTTATCCGCTTGATATGTGCTGCAGGAGACAGGTCTGGCGTGATATCAACCCCCAAGTCTTTTTCCTTCTCTAATTCCTGAAGAATTTCCTCTCCCAGATGATACCTTGTATCTGGCCTCCTGCTCCCTACACCTATCTTCATTACATTACATTTGGTTGGGTTAAACTCTAACAACCATTTGTTCGACCATTCCTTCAGCTTGTCTAGGTCTTCTTGAAGCCTCAAACAGTCCTCTTCTGTTTTAATCCTTCTCATAATTTTAGCATCGTTCGCAAACATTGAGAGAAATGAATCGATACCCTCCGGGAGATCATTTACATATATCAGAAACAAGATATTACGAAGTACATAGCCCTGTGGGACTCCACTGGTGACTTCACGCCAATCGGAGGTCTCACCCCTCACCGTAACTCTCTGCTTCCTATTGCTTAGATACTCCCTTATCCACTGGAGCACCTTACCAGCTACACCTGCCTGTCTCTCCAGCTTATGTACCAGCCTCTTATGCGGTACTGTGTCAAAGGCTTTCCGACAATCCAAGAAAATGCAGTCCGCCCAGCCCTCTCTTTCTTGCTTAATCTTTGTCACCTGATCGTAGAATTCTATCAAGCCTGTAAGGCAAGATTTACCCTCCCTGAACCCATGTTGGCGATTTGTCACGAAGTCCCTTCTCTCCAGATGTGTTACCAGGTTTTTTCTCACGATCTTCTCCATCACCTTGCATGGTATACAAGTCAATGGACACTGGCCTGTAGTTCAGTGCCTCTTGCCTGTCGCCCTTTTTGTATATTGGGACCACATTCGCCGTCTTCCATATTTCTGGTAGGTCTCCCGTCTCCAGTGACTTACTATACACTATGGAGAGTGGCAAGCAAAGTGCCTCTGCACACTCTTTCAGTACCCATGGTGAGATCCCATCTGGACCAACAGTCTTTCTAACATCCAGATCCAGCAGGTGTCTCTTGACCTCCTCTCTCGTAATTTCGAACTCTTCCAAGGCCGCCTGGTTTACCTCCCTTTCTCCTAGCACAGTGACCTCACCTTGTTCTATTGTGAAGACCTCCTGGAACCTCTTGTTGAGTTCTTCACACACCTCTCTGTCATTCTCTGTATACCTGTCCTCGCCTGTTCGAAGTTTCAATACCTGTTCTTTCACTGTTGTTTTCCTTCTGATGTGACTGTGGAGTAGCTTTGGTTCGGTCTTGGCTTTGTTTGCTACATCATTTTCAAACTTTTTCTCTGCTTCTCTTCTCACCCTGACGTACTCATTCATGGTTCTCTGGTATCTCTCTCTGCTTTCTGGTGTTCTGTTATTCCGGAAGTTCCTCCACGCCCTTTTGTTCAGTTTCTTCGCTTCCATACATGCCCTATTATACCATGGATTCTTCTGTTGCTTCTCGGATTTTTCCCTTTGGGCCGGGATGAACCTGTTTACTGCCTCCTGACACTTTTGGGTAACATAGTCCATCATACCCTGTACAGACTTATCTCTGAAGTCTGTGTCCCAAGGTATTTCACTTAGAAAACTTCTCATCTGTTCATAATTCCCCTTTAAGTATGCCAGCCTTTTGATTCCTAGTTCTTTTTTGGGGGAGATAAGTCCTAGCTCTACCAGGTACTCAAAGTTCAATACACTGTGGTCACTCATTCCCAAGGGCGCTTCCATCTTAACTCCCCTTATATCCCACTCATTTAGGGTAAATATCAAATCAAGCATTGCTGGTTCATCTTCTCACACACACACACACACTTGTGTGTGTGTGTGTGTGTGTGTGTGTGTGTGTGTGTGTGTGTGTGTGTGTGTGTGTGTGTGTGTGTGTGTGTGTGTGTGTTTGTGTGTGTGTGTGTGGGTGTGTACTCACCTATTTGTGCTTGCGGGAATTGAGCTTTGGCTCTTTGGTCCCGCCTCTCAACTTTGTGTATGTGTGTGTGAGTGTGTATTCAAATATTACTTGATCAAAAGATGTAAATGTTAGTTTAATATGCTAACTCTTATACTCTCGTTGATAAATTCCATTTATAATATGAAATGTTATGTTTTGCCAACAGGGAAGACGCTAGTGACAGAGTGGGCCCGGCTGCGGTGGGGCGTGTTCGACGAGGTGGGCTACCCGGGCGACCCCAAGTACCCGCTCTTCTACTCGGCGTCCAGCAGCGGCGCCTCGGGGCGAGTGGATGCCGCCTCTGAGGAATACAGCCCCAACTGCTGCTCAGATGCACCCATAAAAGGAATAAAACGGTAATACAGCAAGTCACAGAGATGCACATGAAGAAGCAGTTATCAAAGTCTCTCAAAATAAATAGTAGTTGGTTACTTTAACTTCCAATTTGTTATAGTGTAAATTATGTAATCAAGATTAAGTATTTAGTTACTAATTAGACTATTGTCTTATGCTAAATGAATGAATGATACTTTTAAACTGAGATATTACAATACTGTACTTTTAACTTAATATTTTGACCACTCTTTGAAACCATGATAATATAAAATCAAATGGTCATATTAAGCCACTCAGTGAAACTGGTATTAGGCATCTTTTCAAATTCTTAAATTTTGTCATAACCTCGTTGTTGTTACAAAACACTGCTGGCTACAACACAATATTAAGCATAAGTGTATTCAAGTTTTGGAATTCAAAAATTATATTGCTGTTGAAGTCAACTCACTGTACAACTCGCACATAATTCTCACATACACGGATATATATACCTAACCTCCTAGTATTCTTACACTGAGTAAATTTAGCCCAGACCTCCAGACCTACATTCAGGACTTAGTATACCTGCTAGTTGGTCAATTATCTATGTGGTGGCTTTAATAACTCATCAGTAGTTGATAAGTCTGACATCTGAGATAAGTCTTAAGCCTGTCACCAAACCAAACCTATATTTCTTATATATATGAAAATTATTTTTAATTCCCTTCACAGAAATAAAAGGCCTGGAGGAGGAAACACTTGCATCCTCGGTCCGGACAACCTGCCTGACCATTTCTGCAAGTTCTACCCTCATCATTCACAGAATGCCAGTTCTTCCCTCATGTCCTACCCATTTATCCCCAGCTTCAATGTAAGTACTAACTGCTTTTCAGCCAACAGTTTTGAACCCTTTCTTGAGAACTATTTAGCAACAGGAGCTTTGTGGAGTTTCATCATTCTCTCGCAGGAGCAAGCAGAACTCTCGCAGGAGCTAGTAGAACTCTCGCAGGAGCTAGCAGAACTCTCGCAGGAGCTAGAAGAACTCTCGCAGGAGCAGAACTCTCGTAGGAGCTAGCAGAGCTCTCGCAGGACCTAGCAAAACTCTGGCAGGAGCAAGCAGAACTCTCGCAGGAGCTAGCAGAACTCTCGCAGGAGCAAGCAGAACTCTCGCAGGAGCTAGCAGAACTCTCGCAGGAGCAAGCAGAACTCTCGCAGGAGCAAGCAGAACTCTCGCAGGAGCAAGCAGAACTCTCGCAGGAGCTAGCAGAACTCTCGCAGGAGCTAGCAGAACTCTCGCAGGAACTAGCAGAACTTTCGCAGGAGCAGGCAGAACTCTCGCAGGAGCTAGCAGAACTCTCGCAGGAGCTAGCAGAACTCTCGCAGGAGCTAACAGAACTCTCGTAGGAGCTAGCAGAACTCTCGTAAGAGCTAACAGAACTCTCGTAGGAGCTAGCAGAACTCTCGTAGGAGCTAACAGAACTCTCGTAGGAGCTAGCAGAACTCTCGTAGGAGCTTAGCAGAACTCTCGTAGGAGCTAGCAGAACTCTCGTAGGAGCTAGCAGAACTCTCATGGGAGCTAGCATAACTCTTGTAGGGGCGAGCAGAACTCTCGCAGGAGCAAGTAGAACTCTCGCAGGAGCTAACAGAACTCTCGTAGGAGCTAGCAGAACTCTCGCAGGAGCTAGCAGAACTCTCGCAGGAGCTAGCAGAACTCTCGCAAGAGCTAGCAGAACTCTCGCAGGAACAAGCAGAACCCTCGCAGGAGCAAGCAGAACCCTCGCAGGAGCAAGCAGAACTCTCGCAGGAGCAAGCAGAACTATTGCAGGAGGTAGCAGAACTCTGGCAAGAGCTAGCAGAACTCTCGCAGGAGCTAGCAGAACTCTCGCTGGAGCTAGTAGAACTCTCGTAGGAGCTAGCAGAACTCGCGCAGGAGCTAGCAGAACTCTCGCGGGAACAAGCAGAACCCTCGCAGGAGCTAGCAGAACTCTCGCAGTAGCTAACAGAACTCTCGTAGGAGCTAGCAGAACTCTCGCAGGAGCTAACAGAACTCTCGTAGGAGCTAGCAGAACACTCGCAGGAGCTAGCAGAACTCTCGCAGGAGCTAGCAGAACTCTCGTAAGAGCTAGCAGAACTCTCGTAGGATCTTAGCAGAACTCTTGTAGGAGCTTAGCAGAACTCTCATGGGAGCTAGCAGAACTCTTGTAGGGGCGAGCAGAACTCTCGCAGGAGCTAGCAGAACTCACGCAGGAGCTAGCAGAACTCTCGCAGGAGCTAGCAGAACTCTCGTAGGAGCTAGCAGAACTCTCGTAGGAGCTAGCAGAACTCTCGCAGGAGCTAGCAGAACTCTCGCAAGAGCTAGCAGAACTCTCGCGGGAACAACCAGAACCCTCGCAGGAGCTAGCAGAACTCTCGCTGGAGCTAGTAGAACTCTCGCTGGAGCTAGTAGAACTCTCGTAGGAGCTAGCAGAACTCGCACAGGAGCTAGCAGAACTCTCGCGGGAACAAGCAGAACCCTCGCAGGAGCTAGCAGAACTCTCGCTGGAGCTAGCAGAACTCTCGCAGGAGCTAGCAGAACTCACGCAAGAGCTAGCAGAACTCTCGCAGGAACAAGCAGAACCCTCGCATGAGCAAGCAGAACCCTCGCAGGAGCAAGCAGAACTCTCGCAGGAGCTAGCAGAAATCTCGCAGGAACTAGCAGAACTCTCACAGGAGCTAGCAGAACTCTCGCAGGAGCAAGCAGAACTCTTGCAGGAGCTAGCAGAACTCTGGCAAGAGCTAGCAGAACTCTCGCAGGAGCTAGCAGAACTCTCGCTGGAGCTAGTAGAACTCTCGTAGGAGCTAGCAGAACTCGCGCAGGAGCTAGCAGAACTCTCGCGGGAACAAGCAGAACCCTCGCAGGAGCTAGCAGAACTCTCGCTGGAGCTAGTAGAACTCTCGCAGGAGCTAGCAGAACTCTCGCTGGAGCTAGTAGAACTCTCGCAGGAGCAAGCAGAACTCTCGTAGGAGTAAGCAGAGCTCTCGCAGGAGCTAGCAGAACTCTCGCATGAGCTAGCAGAACTTTCGCAGGAACAAACAGAACCCTCGCAGGAGCTAGCAGAACTCTGGCAGGAGCTAGCAGAACTCTGGCAGGAGCTAGCAGAACTCTCGCAGGAGCTAGCAGAACTCTCGCAGGAGCTAGCAGAACTCTCACAGGAGCTAGCAGAACTCTGGCAGGAGCTAGCAGAACTCTCGTAGGAGCTACTAGAACTCTCGTAGGAACTAGCAGAACTCTCGCAGGAGCTAGTAGAACTCTCGCAGGAGCTAGCAGAACTCTGGCAGGAGCTAGCAGAACTCTGGCAGGATCTAGCAGAACTCTCGCAGGAGCTAGCAGAACTCTGGCAGGAGCTAGCAGAACTCTGGCAGGAGCTAGCAGAACTCTCGCAGGAGCTAGCAGAACTCTCGCAGGAGCTAGCAGAACTCTCGCAGGAGCTAGCAGAACTCTGGCAGGAGCTAGCAGAACTCTCGTAGGAGCTACTAGAACTCTCGTAGGAACTAGCAGAACTCTCGCAGGAGCTAGCAGAACTCTCGCAGGAGCTAGCAGAACTCTGGCAGGAGCTAGCAGAACTCTCGCAGGAGCTAGCAGAACTCTCGCAGGAGCTAGCAGAACTCTCGCAGGAGCTAGTAGAACTCGCAGGAGCTAGCAGAACTCTGACAGGAGCTAGCAGAACTCTGGCAGGAGCTAGCAGAACTCTCGCAGGAGCTAGCAGAACTCTGGCAGGAGCTAGCAGAACTCTGGCAGGAGCTAGCAGAACTCTCGCAGGAGCTAGCAGAACTCTCGCAGGAGCTAGCAGAACTCTCGTAGGAGCTACTAGAACTCTCGTAGGAACTAGCAGAACTCTCGCAGGAGCTAGCAGAACTCTCGCAGGAGCTAGCAGAACTCTCGTAGGTGCTAGCAGAACTCTCGTAGGAGCTACTAGAACTCTCGTAGGAGCTAGCAGAACTCTCGCAGGAACAAGCAGAACCCTTGCAGGAGCAAGCAGAACTCTCGCAGGAGCTAGTAGAACTCTCGCAGGAGCTACTAGAACTCTCGCAGGAGCTACTAGAACTCTCGCAGGAGCTAGCAGAACTCTCCCAGGAACATGCAGAACCCTTGCAGGAACAAGCAAAACCCTTGCAGGAGCAAGCAGAACTCTTGCAGGAGCTAGCAGAACTCTTGCAGGAGCTAGTAGAACTCTCGCAGCAGCTAGTAGAACTCTCGTAGGAGCTAGCAGAACTCTCGCCGGAGCTAGCAGAACTCCCGCAGGCGCTAGCAGAACTCTCGTTGGAGCTTGCAGAACTCTCGCAGGAGCTAGCAGAACTCTCGCAGGAGCTAGCAGAACTCTCGTAGGACCAAGCAGAACACTCGCAGGAGCTAGCAGAACTCTCGCAGGAGCTAGCAGAACTCTCGTAGGACCAACCAGAACTCTCGTAGGAGCTAGCAGAACTTTTGCAGGAGATAGCAGAACTCTCGTAGGAGCTAGCAGAACTCTCATAGGAGCTAGAAGAACTCTCGTAATAGCTAGCAAAACTCTCGTAGGAGCTACCAGAACTCTCGTAGGAGCAAGCAGAACTCTCGTAGGAGCAAGCAGAACTCTCGTAGGAGCTAACAGAACTCTCGTAGGAGCTAGCAGAACTCTCGCAGGAGGTAGCAGAACTCTCGTAGGTGCTAGCAGAACTCTCGTAGGAGCTTAGCAGAACTCTCGTAGGAGCTAGCAGAACTCTCGTAGGTGCTAGCAGATTTCTCGTAGGAGCAAGCAGAACTCTCGTAGGAGCTAGCAGAACTCTCGTAGGAGCTAGCAGAACTCTCGTAGGAGCTAGCAGAACTCTCGTAGGAGCAAGCAGAACTCTCGTAGGAGCTAGCAGAACTCTCGTAGGAGCTAGCAGAACTCTCGTAGGAGCTAGCAGAACTCTTGTAGGATCTAACAGAACTCTCGCAGGAGCTAGTAGAACTCTCGCAGGAGCTAGCAGAACTCTCGCAGGAGCTAGCAGAACTCTCGCAGGAGCTAGTAGAACTCTCGTAGGAGATAGCACAACTCTCGCTGGAGCTAGCAGAACTCTCGCAGGAGCTAGCAGAACTCTTGCAGGAACAAGCAGAACCCTCGCAGGAGCAAGCAGAACTCTCGCAGGAGCTAGCAGAACTCTTGCAGGAGCTAGTAGAACTCTCGCAGGAACTAGCAGGACTCTCGTAGGAGCTAGCAGAACTCTCGCAGGAGCTAGCAGAACTCTGTCAGGAGCTAGTAGAACTCTCATAGGAGCAAGCAGAACTCTCGCAGGAGCTAGCAGAACTCTCGCATGAGCTAGCAGAACTCTCGTAGGAGCTAGCAGAACTCTCGTAGGAGTTAGCAGAACTCTCGTAGGAGCTACCAGAATTCTTGTAGGGGCTAGCAGAACTCTCGTAGGAACAATCAGACCTCTCGTAGGAGCTAGCAGAACTCTCGTAGGAGCTAGCAGAACTCTCGTAGGAGCTAGCAGAACTCTCACAGGAGCAAGCAGAACTTCCGCAGGAGCTAGCAGAACTCTCGCAGGAGCTAGTAGAACTCTCGTAGGAGCTAGCAGAACTTTCGTTGGAGATAGCAGAACTCTCGTAGGAGCTAGCAGAACTCTCGTAGGAGCTAGCAGAACTTTCGTTGGAGATAGCAGAACTTTCGTAGGTGCTAACAGAACTCTCGTTGGCGCATGCAGAACTCTCGTAGGAGCAAGCAGAACTCTCGTAGGAGCTAGCAAAACTCTCGTAGGAGCTAACAGAACTCTCGTAGGAGCAAGCAGAACTCTCGTAAGAGCAAGCAGAACTCTCGTAGGAGCTAGCAGAATTCTTGTAGGGGCTAGCAGAACTCTCGTAAGAGCAAGCAGAACTCTCGTAGGAGCTAGCAGAATTCTTGTAGGGGCTAGCAGAACTCGCGTAGGAACAAGCAGACCTCTCGTAGGAGCTAGCAGAACTCTCGTAGGAGCTAGCAGAACTCTCGTAGGAGCTAGCAGAACTCTCGTAGGAACTAGCAGAACTCTCGTAGGAGCTAGCAGAACTCTCGTAGGAGCTAGCAGAACTCTCGTAGGAGCTAGCAGAACTCTTGTAGGAGTAAGCAGAGCTCTCGTAGGAGGTAGCAGAACTCTCGCAGGAGCCAGCAGGACTCTCGTAGGAGCTAGCAGAACTCTCACAGGAGCTAGCAGAACTCTCACAGGAGCTAGCAGAACTCTCACAGGAGCAAGCAGAACTCTCGCAGGAGCTAGCAGAACTCTCGCAGGAGCAAGCAGAACTCTGGCAGGAGCTAGCAGAACTCTGGCAGGAGCTAGCAGAACTCTGGCAGGAGCTAGCAGAACTCTCGCAGGAGCTATCAGAACTCTCGCAGGAGCTATCAGAACTCTCGCATGAGCTAGCAGAACTCTCGTAGGAGTAAGCAGAACTCTCGTAGGAGCTAGCAGAACTTTCGTTGGAGATAGCAGAACTCTCGTAGGAGCTAGCAGAACTCTCGTAGGAGCTAGCAGAACTTTCGTTGGAGATAGCAGAACCTTCGTAGGAGCTAACAGAACTCTCGTAGGAGCATGCAGAACTCTCGTAGGAGCAAGCAGAACTCTCGTAGGAGCTAGCAAAACTCTCGTAGGAGCTAACAGAACTCTCGTAGGAGCAAGCAGAACTCTCGTAAGAGCAAGCAGAACTCTCGTAGGAGCTAGTAGAACTCTCGTAGGAGCTAGCAGAACTCTCGTAGGAGCTAGCAGAACTTTCGTAGGAGCTAACAGAACTCTCGTAGGAGCAAGCAGAACTCTCGTAGGAGCAAGCAGAACTCTCGTAGTAGCTAGCCGAACTTTCGTAGGAGCTAACAGAACTCTCGTAGGAGCAAGCAGAACTCTCGTAGGAGCAAGCAGAACTCTCGTAGTAGCTAGCAGAACTTTCGTAGTAGCTAGCAGAACTCTCGCAGGAGCTAACAGAACTCTCGTAGGGGCAAGCAGAACTCTCGTAGGAGCTAGCAGAACTTGGAGAGAAAAACACCAGCCTCCTGGGGGCAGGTACATGGCGAGGTAGGGCACCAGGGCGGTCACCTTGACCGCAGTCACGCAAGACCAGTAAGGTACGAGGTCACCTCCAGGAGACCTAACCCTACATAGTTCGGGCAAATGACCTCTGCAACATGTGCCTTGTTCAAATGTAACTTAGACAAGTGGCAGTGCAATATTTTGTGACCAGAGGTTCCGTCTGGTGAATATGTTGATTCAAGCTAATTTTTCTTATATTTGTCATTGTTTTTCAAGAGCAAATTGCCACCTTTCCAGGAACTCAATTATTTTCAGAATTATTCTGAGGAATGTACTGATGATGCTCTCTCATTATCTGAGATATCAGGTACCCTATGTCATTATCTGAGATATCAGGTACCCTATGTCATTATCTGAGATATCAGGTACCCTGTGTCATTATCTGAGATATCAGGTACCCTATGTCATTATCTGAGATATCAGGTACCCTCTGTCATTATCTGAGATATCAGGTACCCTGTGTCATTATCTGAGATATCAGGTACCCTCTCTCATTATCTGAGATATCAGGTACCCTGTGTCATTATCTGAGATATCAGGTACCCTGTGTCATTATCTGAGATATCAGGTACCCTGTGTCATTATCTGAGATATCAGGTACCCTGTGTCATTATCTGAGATATCAGGTACCCTGTGTCATTATCTGAGATATCAGGTACCCTGTGTCATTATCTGAGATATCAGGTACCCTATGTCATTATCTGAGATATCAGGTACCCTGTGTCATTATCTGAGATATCAGGTACCCTGTGTCATTATCTGAGATATCAGGTACCCTGTGTCATTATCTGAGATATCAGGTACCCTATGTCATTATCTGAGATATCAGGTACCCTCTGTCATTATCTGAGATATCAGGTACCCTGTGTCATTATCTGAGATATCAGGTACCCTATGTCATTATCTGAGATATCAGGTACCCTGTGTCATTATCTGAGATATCAGGTACCCTGTGTCATTATCTGAGATATCAGGTACTCTCTGTCATTATCTGAGATATCAGGTACCCTGTGTCATTATCTGAGATATCAGGTACCCTGTGTCATTATCTGAGATATCAGGTACCCTGTGTCATTATCTGAGATATCAGGTACCCTGTGTCATTATCTGAGATATCAGGTACCCTGTGTCATTATCTGAGATATCAGGTACCCTGTCTCATTATCTGAGATATCAGGTACCCTGTGTCATTATCTGAGATATCAGGTACCCTGTGTCATTATCTGAGATATCAGGTACCCTGTGTCATTATCTGAGATATCAGGTACCCTCTCTCATTATCTGAGATATCAGGTACCCTCTCTCATTATCTGAGATATCAGGTACCCTCTCTCATTATCTGAGATATCAGGTACCCTGTGTCATTATCTGAGATATCAGGTACCCTGTGTCATTATCTGAGATATCAGGTACCCTGTGTCATTATCTGAGATATCAGGTACCCTGTGTCATTATCTGAGATATCAGGTACCCTGTGTCATTATCTGAGATATCAGGTACCCTGTGTCATTATCTGAGATATCAGGTACCCTGTGTCATTATCTGAGATATCAGGTACCCTGTGTCATTATCTGAGATATCAGGTACCCTGTGTCATTATCTGAGATATCAGGTACCCTGTGTCATTATCTGAGATATCAGGTACCCTCTCTCATTATCTAAGATATCAGGTACTCCTCTGTCATCATCTAAGATATCAGGTATGCTCTGTCATTGTCTGAGATATCAGGTACCCTCTGTAATTATCTATGTATCGGGTACCCTCTGTCATTATCTAAGATATCAGGTACCTTCTGTCATTATCTAAGATATCAGGTATCCTCTGTCATTATCTAAGTAATCAGGTACCTTCTGTCATTACCTGAGATATCAAATACCCTCTGTCATTATCTAAGATTTCAGGTACCTTCTGTCATTTACTGAGATATCCGATACCTCTCTCTCTTTATCTAGGATATCAGGTACCTTCTGTCATTTCCTGAGCAATCAGATACTCTCTGTCATAATCTAAAGGGAGCCGGTCGGCCGAGCGGACAGCCTGCTGTACTTGTGATCCTGTAGTCCCGGGTTCGATCCCGGGCTCCGGCGAGAAGCAATAGGCAGACTTTCTTTCACCTGTTACCTAGCAGTAAAATAGGTACCTGCGTGTTAGTCAATTGTCACAAGCTGCTTCCTGGGGGTGGAGGCCTGGTCGAGGACCGGGCCGCGGGGACACTAAAGCCCCGAAATCATCTCAAGATAACCTCAAGATAAGAGATCAAGATATCAGGTACCTTCTGCAATTACCTGATATATCAGAGGCCCTGTCATTACCTGAGATATCAGGTACCCTCTATTCTAACCTGATATAGCAGGTACCTCTGTCATTACCTGTGATATCAGTTATCCTGTTATTACTCGGGATATCAGGTACTCGGTCATTGCCTGAGCTATCAGCTATTCTCTGCAATTAAATGAAATATCAGGTATTCTCTATCTTTTCCTGAGATATCACGTATCCTCTGTCATTACCTGACTTATCAGATAACCTGCCATTACCTGAGATATCAGGTACCCTGTCATTATCAGAGGTAACATGTACCCTCTGTCATTGTCTGAGATATCAGATACCCTCTGCCATTATCTGAGATATCAGGAACCCTGTCATTACCTGATACATGATCTGTGCTCTTTTAATATTGTCAATGCGATGAAGTCACAACTTTTGGCCCTGCTAATTGTGGCTTTAATTTAATAGTGTAAACACCAATTACCTATACTAAATTTTAATGACAGGCTTACATATTCTCCTCTGTTGCTTTATATATTTGTATGTACATATTATTCTGTGTTAATAGATCGTCGAGTTCTGCGATAGTCACACGCACGTCCCATTTGCTCCGACGAAACAAAACGACAAGTGCAATTATCGGTCGGTGTGGGAGGTGATGCTGGATCACCCAGACTTCAAGGACGGCGCGTAAGTATTTAATTATAATAGTTACATCATATATTTGGAATACTGACTATACTGATACAGATTATATGAGTACTGGTACAGGAGGGCTGCATCAACAGTGAGAGCAGCACAGGATCCCACCTCTCGTTCTTATGTTAAATAAGATGTCATATGTGACAGGAACCCCCCCATCAGCGAGGAACCAGAGGAGCCATCAATCACTGTGGTGAAGCAGGAGGCGGCCAGTTACGCCGTCGTCATGGACTATTCGGGCAGCATGTCCACAAATAACCGAATAGAAATGCTGCAGAAGACAGCTCAGAGGTGGTTGCTGCACGAGGCGCCCCACAACAGCTTAGTTTCACTCATAAGATTCTCGTAGGTATATATATAATATATATATATATATATATATATATATATATATATATATATATATATATATATATATATATATATATATATATATATATATATATATATATATATATATATATATATCAGTATATTTTGGTAGCAGTCTTTCTTGTAAACATATATTATTATTATTATTATATATATATATATATATATATATATATATATATATATATATATATATATATATATATATATATATATATATATATATATATATATATATGGGGGGATACATAAGGGATAAATGTGAGGTGAAACATAGAGGCTGCAGAAGGCCTTCTGCAGCCTCTATGTTTCACCTCACATTTATCCCTTATGAATCCCCCCATGTTTTCACCTTCATTGTATTATCACCTGACCCAGTGCGGGTATAAAATCAACTAATATATAGTTGAATATATAATCAACTATATATATATATAATCAACTATATACAACTAATATAATCAACTGATATATATATATATATATATATATATATATATATATATATATATATATATATATATATATATATATATATATATATATATATATATATATATATATATCAGTATATTTTGGTAGCAGTCTTTCTTGTAAACATATATTATTAAATATGACCGAAAAAGTAAGATTAATAATTCTAACACGAATTTTCTCAATATTTGTTATGTTTTTTTTCACTGTCGATGGTAATTGAAAAATCAATTCTCCAAAATTCATTATTATTTCTAGTCTAGACTAGAAATAAAAATGAATTTTGGAGAACTGATTTTTCAATTACCATCGACAGTGAAAAGAAACATAAGATATATTGAGAAAATCCGTGTTAGAATTATTTATCTTACTCTTTCGGTCATATTTATTAATATATATATATATATATATATATATATATATATATATATATATATATATATATATATATATATATATATATATATATATATATATATATAGACATATGTCGTACCTAGTAGCCAGAACGCACTTCTCAGCCTACTATGCAAGGCCCGATTTGCCTAATAAGCCAAGTTTTACTGAATTAATATATTTTCTCTAATTTTTTTCTTATGAAATGATAAAGCTACCCATTTCATTATGTATGAGGTCAATTTTTTTTATTGGAGTTAAAGTTAACGTAGATATATGACCGAACCTAACCAACCCTACCTAACCTAACCTAACCTATCTTTATAGGTTAGGTTAGGTTAGGTAGCCGAAAACGTTAGGTTAGGTTAGGTTAGGTAGGTTAGGTTGTCGAAATAACATTAATTCATGAAAACTAGGCTTATTAGGCAAATCGGGCCTTGCATAGTAGGCTGAGAAGTGAGTTCTGGCTACTAGGTACGACATATATATATATATATATATATATATATATATATATATATATATATATATATATATATATATATATATATATATATGCGAACAAGCCTGAATGGTCCCCAGGACTCCGCTAGGACAAGCGGATTAAGGCGCCCTGTAGTTACCAGTTGCGTTGCTTCTGGGAGTATGGGTTCGAGTCACTTCTGGGGTGTGAGCATATATATATATATATATATATATATATATATATATATATATATATATATATATATATATATATATATATATATATATATATATATATATATATATATATGTTTCATTGAATATGACCGCATATTCTGTATTTATTATTTTCTGGTTTAGGGCTTCTATCCCTCTAACTATTTTCTTAGCATCAGGGCTTAATTGGAATAGGAGTTCTCCAAAACTCATTTTCGTACTTTTAAGGTGAAGAAAAGAAGTGATTTACTATAGAGTGTATTACACTTATTTGTATAATTTGCACGACGTTTCGAACCTCCATGGTTCATTCTCAAGTGAACAGATCTTACAATACTAGTTGATTTTATACCCGCATTAGGTCAGGTGATAATACAATGAAGGTGAAAAACATGGGGGGATACATAAGGGATAAACATAGGGGCTGCAGAAGGCTTATTGGCCCATACGAGGCATCTCCTATCTAAACACAAAGATTAATCCAGTGTAATTGGCCTGTTATGTTGGACATTGTCTTCTGTGTTGGCATCGATATGTTCTTGTCTTGTCCTTACTCTCATGGTGGGTAGAGTAAATAGTTCCGTGATTTGGGTGTTCATGGTAGGTCGCTCTATTCTTATGTGAATTGCCTCAAGAATTTGTAATCTTCTTGAATCTTGGGTTTTGTCTATTATGCAAGTATTCTTGTTCAACATTTCTCTTGTTAGAGTAATGTCATGGGCTTGTCTCATGTGATTCCTAGGGGCACCAGATTGAAGATGGCATGTCAAACGCCTCGTCAGCTTGGTCGACGTCATACCTATGTACTTACATTGAAGGTTACATCCTTCGTGGGGGCAAGTGTACATGTATACAACGCTTGACTGCTGTAGAGGGTTCTCCGTCGGCTTCGGGCTGTTTTTGATAAGGAGTTCGGAAGTCTTCTTGGTTTTGTAGAATATTATCAGGTTTATGTTTTGGTTAGGAGTAGTGCTTTTTACTCCTTTACGGATTATTTCTTTCATTATTCTTTCCTCTTTTATATGTTCACTGTGCATGGTTGATTTGTAATATAATTTTATTGGGGGTGTTGTGGTTTCTGTTCTAGGTTCTGAATTATACCAACGGTCCAAGTGTCTTCTTATAGCAGCGTTTATTTCCGCGTTGCTATATCCGTTGTTCACCAATACCTGAGTTACTCTTTCAAACTCTCTACTCACGTTGCTCCATTCAGAGCAGTGGGTAAGCGCTCGACGAATATAAGCATTGAGAACACTGGCTTTGTATCTTTGGGGGCACTCACTTCTACCGTTCAGGCATAATCCTATGTTGGTGGGCTTGGTATATACGTTGGTGCTTAAAGAGGTTCCTGTTTTTGTTATTAGTACATCCAAGAATGGCAGACTGTTATTTTCACTATTTTCATGTGTAAATCGGAGTACTGACTCTCTCTCTAGGTGTCTTTTTAGGTCAATTAGTTCATCTGAGTCTTTTACTATTACGAATATGTCATCTACATAACGGCAGTATACAGTTGGTTTTTGTCTGCTACTGAAGACCCTATCTTCGATGGTTCCTATATAAAAATATAAACTCCTAAGGGGGAACCCATTGCTACTCCGTCTATTTGTAAAACATAGACATGTATTTACATGTCCTGAACGGTAGAAGTGAGTGCCCCCAAAGATACAAAGCCAGTGTTCTCAATGCTTATATTCGTCGAGCGCTTACCCACTGCTCTGAATGGAGCAACGTGAGTAGAGAGTTTGAAAGAGTAACTCAGGTATTGGTGAACAACGGATATAGCAACGCGGAAATAAACGCTGCTATAAGAAGACACTTGGACCGTTGGTATAATTCAGAACCTAGAACAGAAACCACAACACCCCCAATAAAATTATATTACAAATCAACCATGCACAGTGAACATATAAAAGAGGAAAGAATAATGAAAGAAATAATCCGTAAAGGAGTAAAAAGCACTACTCCTAACCAAAACATAAACCTGATAATATTCTACAAAACCAAGAAGACTTCCGAACTCCTTATCAAAAACAGCCCGAAGCCGACGGAGAACCCTCTACAGCAGTCAAGCGTTGTATACATGTACACTTGCCCCCACGAAGGATGTAACCTTCAATGTAAGTACATAGGTATGACGTCGACCAAGCTGACGAGGCGTTTGACATGCCATCTTCAATCTGGTGCCCCTAGGAATCACATGAGACAAGCCCATGACATTACTCTAACAAGAGAAATGTTGAACAAGAATACTTGCATAATAGACAAAACCCAAGATTCAAGAAGATTACAAATTCTTGAGGCAATTCACATAAGAATAGAGCGACCTACCATGAACACCCAAATCACGGAACTATTTACTCTACCCACCATGAGAGTAAGGACAAGACAAGAACATATCGATGCCAACACAGAAGACAATGTCCAACATAACAGGCCAATTACACTGGATTAATCTTTGTGTTTAGATAGGAGATGCCTCGTATGGGCCAATAAGCCTTCTGCAGCCCCTATGTTTATCCCTTATGTATCCCCCCATGTTTTTCACCTTCATTGTATTATCACCTGACCTAATGCGGGTATAAAATCAACTAGTATTGTAAGATCTGTTCACTTGAGAATGAACCATGGAGGTTCGAAACGTCGTGCAAATTATACAAATAAGTGTAATACACTCTATAGTAAATCACTTCTTTTCTTCACCTTAAAAGTACGAAAATGAGTTTTGGAGAACTCCTATTCCAATTAAGCCCTGATGCTAAGAAAATAGTTAGAGGGATAGAAGCCCTAAACCAGAAAATAATAAATACAGAATATGCGGTCATATTCAATGAAACATGTTTGAAAGAAAACCTGCTGCCAGTATACACCAATATAATATATATATATATATATATATATATATATATATATATATATATATATATATATATATATATATATATATATATATATATATATATATATATATATATATATATATATATATATATATATATATATATATATATGTCGTACCTAGTAGCCAGAACGCACTTCTCAGCCTACTATGCAAGGCCCGATTTGCCTAATAAGCCAAGTTTTCATGAATTAATTGTTTTTCGACTACCTAACCTAACTTTTTCGGCTAACCTAACCTAACCTAACCTGTAAAGATAGGTTAGGTTAGGTTAGGTAGGGTTGGTTAGGTTCGGTCATATATCTACGTTAATTTTAACTCCAATAAAAAACAATTGACCTCATACATAATGAAATGGGTAGCTTTATCATTTCATAAGAAAAAAATTAGAGAAAATATGTTAATTCAGGAAAACTTGGCTTATTAGGCAAATCGGGCCTTGCATAGTAGGCTGAGAAGTGCGTTCTGGCTACTAGGTACGACATATATATATATATATATATATATATATATATATATATATATATATATATATATATATATATATATATATGTCGTACCTAGTAGCCAGAACTCACTTTTTGGCCTACTATTCAAGGCCCGATTTGCCTAATAAGCCAAGTTTTCATGAATTAATTGTTTTTCGACTACCTAACCTAACCTAACCTAACTTTTTCGGCTACCTAACCAAACCTAACCTATAAAGATAGGTTAGGTTAGGTTAGGTTAGGTAGGGTTGGTTAGGTTCGGTCATATATCTACGTTAATTTTAACTCCAATAAAAAAAATTGACCTCATACATAATGAAATGGGTAGCTTTATCATTTCATAAGAAAAAAATTAGAAAAAATATATTAATTCAGGAAAACTTGGCTTATTAGGCAAATCGGGCCTTGAATAGTAGGCCAAAAAGTGAGTTCTGGCTACTAGGTACGACATATATATATATATATATATATATATATATATATATATATATATATATATATATATATATATATATATATATATATATATATATATATATATATATATATATATATATATACAAGAGTATATTTCAAGTTGACATAGATGACAAGTTGATTTTATCAATTAAATAAAAATGAAGGATGGACAAATGTTGTTAAACTTATTTTTCACTAATTATTCATAAATATAAGAGATATGGTGTGTGAAACAGGAGCAGCCCGGCCAGGGTGTTGGCGCCTCTCACCAAGCTGACAGACAACACAACCAGACAAGCTCTAGCCAACATGATCCTCACCGACATCAACGGAGCCACCAGCATTGGTTCCGGGATGAGGGCGGCCGTCCAGGTAGGCATCGTTGACTGGACTTTCTTACAGTAGAGGAAGAGTTGAAGTGCTCTGACGATTACTAATATGCTATAAGACTTGAGACAAGTGAAAACAAGGCAGAGTTGGCAAGTGGTTCTTGTCACATTATACTAATGTGGTGTTCATATCATGCACATTTATACAGTAGAGTAGATCATTAAATAAGAGAAGTAAAAGTACACTCATATTTATGAATTACAAATTAAATTATATTTCTCAGTTTGTTTTTGGCGTTATGGCTAGGACAGTCCAAGAGCAACATTTGTACGTTATCAGTAAAGATAGCTCCCTGGATAGTTCGAGTAGGAGCCCGTCACCAAGCTATAGCTTGGTGACGGGTTGTTGTTCAGTTCAGAGTTTCGCTGACTCTCAATTGTAGAGTTCGAGTGACAACGTTTGGGGTGAAAGGCTGTAATAGGTAAAGGAGAGAGAGAGGGAGTGTTTGGGGTGTAAGACAGGAATGGGTATGAGTGGGAGGAAGAGTGTTTTAGGTGAAAGGCAGTAATAGGAAAGGGAGGGAGGGAGGGAGTGTTCGGGATGCAAGACGGGAACAAACGTGTTGGAGAGTAAACGAGAGAGAAATGTCTTAATTAAGCATGTCAGTCCTCTCGAGAGCACCTCAGCTAGTGTATTTATGGTGCGCCATACAGGAAGGGGTAAGAGAAATAGGTATAACCTGGCAGGCCTGAATCATTGCGACTAACACTTTTTGCTGACATTGGCTTACAGGTGCTGGCTGGGAAGAGTAACAAGAACATGCTGCTGATCACCGACGGAGAAGAGAACGAGTCTCCGCGCATTAATGATGTCATAGAGGAGGTGATACAAGCTCGCATCTGCGTCATTACTGTGGCCTTCGGGTGAGTCCGCAGCCTACTACAGCCCAGTAACTTTCCCAGGTCAAACATTATGAAAATCATGCTTACTAATGATTATCTACTTGTGCTTCTTTCAGTTGAACAAAAAACTATATTGGATTTTATATTAATTTAACCATCGGAAGACATAATAAGTCATGTATTAAAAAATGTTCAACATTCAGTCATAGCAGTCTCTGAGATATTCCGGGCATTAAAGTGGCACTTGCAGAAAAAACATTAACTGTAAGTGTCAGCCCAGTGTCAGCGATTATATCAAAGGACACACACACACACACGCACACACACGCACACAAACACACACACACACACACACACACACACACACACACACACACACACACACACGCACACACACACACACACACACACACACACACACACACACACACACACACACACACACACACACACACACACACTCTCTTCCACTCCCAGCACCCATGCTCCATTCTCATCTCAACTCTCCACCCTCAGTAGCCCTCTTCCCCCCAACCTCTCAACCTCTATCTGACTCTCAGTCTCACTCTATTTCTCAACCCCCCTATGCTATTCAGACCCCTAACTTTCAGACCCATTATGCCCTTCCTACCCCCCTAGATGCCCAGACCCCATTCGCCTACCAGGCACTCCCAGGCACCCCCCTAGCACCCCCCCACTCACCCCCACAACCCCCACTTGCCCCCCAGACACCCCCCAGTTCCCCCCAGACCCCTGGTGAAAGGGGGAACTCTGACACCCGAGTTTCCAAGAAGAGTCTCAAGGTTTGGTACACCAATGCTGATGGGGTAGCCAATAAAGCAGAAGAGATAAAAGAAAGAGTTAGTGAGGCAGACCCAGACATAGTGGCAATAGTGGAAACTAAAATAAATGGCATGATCTCGGATGCAATCTTTCCAGAGGGGTACCAGGTGATAAGAAAAGAAAGGACACAGAGACAGGGAGGAGGAGTGGCACTACTAATAAAGCGGAAATGGAAGTTTGATGAGCTGGAAAATCCGGGTACCAATGAAAGCACAAGCTTCATACATGGAACTCTGACAGTGGATGGGAAGAAGATTGTAATCTTGATACTCTACCATCCCCCACCAAACAGTAGAAGGCCCAGGCAGGAGTACGAGGACAGCAACAAGACATGTATGGATGAACTGCAGAGGGCAGCAACTTTAGCGCATAGAATGAGAGCGAAGCTGCTGGTCATGGGGGACCTAAATCACGGAGAGATAGATTGGGAAACGAGGAATCCCCATGGCGGGGAGGAGACCTGGGGAGCGAAGCTGGTAGACGTTATTGACAGGAATTTCCTAACACAGCATGTGAAAGAAGATACTAGGGAAAGAGGAGGGGATACGCCCAGCCTATTAGATCTCATTATCACTCAGAATGTAGAAGACATCGAGCAGTTGGAACATGAAATACCACTAGGAGCTAGTGACCATTGTGTCCTAGTCTTTGACTACATGATGGAGCTTAAAATTGTGACCAAAGGACAAGAGGTCCGGGAAAGGAGACTTGATTACAGAAAAGGGGACTACAGAAGGATAAGGGACTACCTGGGAGAAGTGCAGTGGGAGGAAGAACTTAGAGGAAAAACAGTGCAAGGTATGATGAACCAAGTCATATTGAAATGCAAGGAGGCTGAAGATAGATTTATTCCAACAATAAAGGAAAAAAGCAGGAGGGAATATAATAACCCATGGTTTAATAGACAGTGTCAGGAAGCAAAGGTGAGAAGCAGGAGGGAGTGGAGGAAGTACAGAAGACAAAGGACAGAGGACAACAGGATTAGATGTAACAGAGCTAGGAATGATTACATTAACATAAGACGAGTGTCGGAAAGAAATTATGAGAATGATATTGCAGTCAAAGCGAAAAAGCAACCAAAATTACTACATAGCCATATAAGAAGGAAGATGTCGGTAAATGACCAAGTGACAAGACTGAGGAAAACAGAAGGGGCATATACAGAAAGCGACAAGGAAATCTGCGAGGTACTGAATGCAAAATTCCATGGAGTGTTCACAACCGAGCCTGAGCAGCTCCCATTGTTAGAAGAGATTACCCAAGATGAAAGACTATCAGATATAGAGGTGACAGCAGAGGATGTAATGAAACAGTTGACAACACTGGATGCAAATAAAGCTGTTGGACCAGACAAAGTATCACCGTGGATACTTAAAGAGGCAGCGCAGGCTCTCAGCGTGCCTCTGGCAATGATCTTTAATGAGTCACTTATGTCGGGAGAATTGCCCAGTTGCTGGAAGGAGGCAAATGTCGTACCGATTTTCAAAAAAGGTGATAGGGAGGAGGCACTTAACTACAGACCCGTATCACTGACAAGCATCCCCTGCAAAATACTTGAAAGAATAATTAGGCTAAGACTTGTTGAGCACCTGGAGAGCATTGGGTTTGTAAACAAGCACCAACATGGGTTCTGGACAGGGAAATCATGCCTAACAAACCTTTTAGAATTCTATGATAAAGTAACAAGGATAAGGCAGGACAGAGAAGGCTGGGCAGACTGCATATTTCTTGACTGCCAAAAGGCCTTTGATACGGTACCGCACATGAGACTGCTATACAAACTTGAGAGGCAGGCAGGAGTAAGCGGAAAGGCCCTAGTATGGGTGAAGAACTACCTAACAGGAAGGAGCCAGAGGGTAATGGTAAGGGGCGAGAAGTCGGACTGGCGAACAGTAACAAGTGGAGTACCTCAAGGATCGGTGCTGGGACCAATCCTCTTTCTAATTTACGTAAATGATATGTTTACAGGAGTGGAATCATACATGTCAATGTTTGCGGATGACGCAAAATTAATGAGAAGAGTTGTGACAGACGAGGATTGTAGGATCCTCCAAGAGGACTTAAACAGGCTGCAGAGATGGTCAGAGAAATGGCTACTGGAGTTTAACACCAGTAAATGTAAAGTTATGGAAATGGGATCAGGTGACAGGAGACCAAAGGGACAGTACACAATGAAGGGGAACAGCCTACCTGTAACGATTCGAGAAAGAGACCTGGGAGTGGATGTGACACCTAATCTAACTCCTGAGGCACATATAAATAGGATAACGACAGCAGCGTACTCTACACTGGCGAAAATTAGAACTTCATTCAGAAACCTAAATGAGGAGGCTTTTAGGGCGCTTTACACTGCCTACGTGAGACCCGTCTTAGAGTATGCCGCGCCATCATGGAGCCCCCACCTGAAGAAACACATAAAGAAACTGGAGAAGGTTCAGAGGTTTGCGACGAGGCTTGTCCCAGAGTTACGAGGGATGGGATATGAAGAGCGGCTGAAGGAACTGAACCTTACGACACTAGAGAAAAGAAGGGAGAGAGGAGATATGATAGGGACATATAAAATACTCAGGGGAATTGACAAAGTGGAAATAGATGAAATGTTCACACGTAATAATAACAGAACGAGGGGACATGGGTGGAAACTGGAAACTCAGATGAGTCACAGAGATGTTAGGAAGTTTTCTTTTAGCGTGAGAGTAGTGGAAAAATGGAATGTACTTGGGGAACAGGTTGTGGAAGCAAATACTATTCATACTTTTAAAACTAGGTATGATAGGGAAATGGGACAGGAGTCATTGCTGTAAACAACCGATAGCTAGAAAGGCGGGATCCAAGAGTCAATGCTCGATCCTGCAAGCACAAATAGGTGAGTACATATAGGTGAGTACACACACACACACACACACACACACACACACACACACACACACACACACACACACACACACACACACACCGACAAGAACGAGAGGAGGGGATGAACCAGCCTTGCTTGATCTGATATTTACCCTAAATGAGTCGAAGCCCCCTTGGGAATGAGTGATCATAGTGTATTGAAGTTGGAAGCCCCAAAAAAGAACTGGGAAACAAAGGGGAATGAGTGATCATAGTGTATTGAGCTTTGAGTACCTGGTTGAGCTAACTGAATTATCACCCCCAAAAAAGTATTCCAACTGGGAAACAAACGCTACGCGCTAGTGGCTGTACCGAAAGGGAAACTATGAAAAAATGAATAAATTCCTATGGGATATACATTGGGACACAGAACTCGGAACCAAGTCCGTACAAGACATGATGGACTATGTCACCCAAAAATGTCAGGAGGCTGTAAGCAGGTTTGTCCCAGCCCAACAGGAAAAAACAGAGAAGCAAAGGAAGAATCCGTGGTTTAATAGGGAATGTATGAAAGCAAAGGAGCTGAACAAAAGGGCATGGAGGAACTTCCGTAATAACAGAACACCAGAAAGTAGAGAGAGATACCAGAGAACCAGGAACGAGTATGTTAGTGTGAGAAGAGCAGCTGAGAAAAGGTATGAAAATGATATAGCTAATAAAGCCAAGACCGAACCAAAGCTACTACACAGTCACATCAGGAGGAAGACAACAGTGAAGGAACAGGTGATGAAACTTAGGGTGGGCGAGGACAGGTACACAGAGAATGACAAAGAGGTGTGTGAAGAACTCAACAAAAGGTTCCAGGAGGTCTTTACAATAGAACAGGGAGAAGTCACGGCGCTAGGAGAGGTGGCAGCAAACCAGGTGACCTTGGAAAGGTTCGAAATTACAAGAGATGAGGTCAAGAAGCACCTATTGGAGCTGGATGTGAGAAAAGCTGTTGGGCCGGATGGAATCTCACCATGGGTATTGAAAGAGTGTGCAGGAGCACTTTGCTTGCCACTCTCCATAGTGTATAGTAGGTCACTGGAAACGGGAGACCTACCAGAAGTATGGAAGACTGCTAATGTAGTACCAATATTTAAAAAGGGTGACAGACAAGAGGCACTGAACTACAGGCCAGTGTCCTTAACTTGTATACCATGCAAGGTGATGGAGAAGATTGTGAGAAAAAACCTAGTAACACATCTGGAGAGAAGAGACTTCGTGACAACCCATCAACATGGGTTCAGGGAGGGTAAATCTTGCCTTACAGGCTTGATAGAATTCTATGATCAGGTGAC